AACAAAGGCTCATAGGGCAGCAGAGACGCTACTCTCAGACACACATCTGTGCTGTTTTCAGTACTTAGCTTTATGGCAGTAGGTTTATGTTACAAAAGTTAAGAGCTTGGAATCATGTCACTGTCATGTACATTTATAACTATTTTACACAATAAGCAACATCAAGTATGTTACGCATAAGAAAAACTAATAATGTGAAACAAAGATTTGTTAGTGTAACTATGGATACGCACCACTGTTAATGTTACACTAACCAAAGTTAATGTTTAACATTAATAGTATAATTAAAACTTCGTGCATGAAGCTACAGACATTCACATTAAATTTTAGTGTGCAAAGCAATACATAAAATATAATACATTCTTATATTAACTGTTACTATATCATTTAATTTCAAGCTAAATTTTAGATTACTACCCATTGAAGAAAATAAATAAAATACATTTAAACTCTCAGGGCCAAAAAGTTAAAGGCTTTCTAATATACTTTTACTGAATGTCTAAAAATGTCTATTTTGGAGTTATATGAAATCTATATTATTGCAGATAAAAATATTGCTGAGTATTGTTACATCTCTTTTCTGGATCTTTTGGTTGTTTCCTACTAACATTTAACAGAACATAAACTAATTTGTGCTAAAGACCATATTCTTTTAAATAAACACATTGTTGAAAGAAAGCCTTATTTCTTTGTATGTACCCATATGAATAAAAGCAAAAGTCATCCTTCTGAAAATGTTGAGTCTAATTCAGAAAACATAAAATAAGGTATGTACTTATTCTTCATTTGAGGCACTACAGAATACATGAAAATACAATATAAAACAGAGGTCTAAATAACTACACATAGGTGTTCAGCTATGATGAGGCTGAGCATTGTAACATGGACAGGATAGAGTTGGAACTGAAGTTCTCAGAAAGCTGCACTCTCTACAGACTAGATACTCTTGGAACATATGTGATTACACACAAATTGGAAGCTATAGAGCAGAGTTTCTCAATCTTTTTGATACCAGGGACTGGCTTGCTGCCTTCCTAAACTGTGTCAGGGAGAGCTTGAGGATCGGCGCCGGGCCATGGACCGATTGTTGAGAAACACTGCTATAGAGAATACTACTCAGAAAGAGGATGAAGGGGGCTGGTGAGGGGGAAAATACCACATACCAGGAACATTAATGTAGAAAACAACCCACAAAAAGGCAAAATAAAAATAATGTTTATTTTGCACTTCAGCAAAGGTTTTCAAGAGGTCATCATCAGAACTGCCTTCAAAATATAATTCTTGTCAATTCACCCATACTAAACTTTTTGTAGTTTGTATAAACAAAAACAACAAAATCTTGACTTTTTCCATATAGGGTACAGAAAACAGTAATTATATCTATGTTAGATTATTAGGAACGCATCCTTCATTAATATTTAGCCACTGTGCCCAATAAAAATACATGTTTACCGTTAGCTGCTCACATGTACACATGCAGTTACTTTGGTAACCCACCTGCTTTTCCTTTGCTCCAGCCTAGGTGTAATAAAACATCACCCATGTAAATAATGCAATTCACCTGAAACCTCATCTAAGTTCTAGATGCAATGCAATGAGAGAGGCACATATAATTGGGAATAATTTTTTTTAAAAAGCACAAAACTTTACTTTGCAGATTTTTTTGTCACTGTAAAAAATAAAAACAAAACTTTTGAGAGATTTCCAATGAGTTGCTTTTGTAAAGATGCCATTCATAATGTTGCTTTGAAAACAAGCTGTGGGACAAAGCCATGAACATTCATGGCCGATCAGGGTAAAGTTTTCCAAAGTACCTATTATGACTTAAGAGCCTGAACTTTATTGAAAGTGAATGGGACTTAGGAAATTCTGAAAATTTTACCCCTAAACAATAAAAAAAAAATTGTCTCTGTTGATTTTCTAGATATAATTATGGGGAGAGGTTGTCTTATTTCTTTGATTTGTCTTCAAAAGTGAATTTGTATTGCAGAACTGAAACAAGAAAATTTGTGGTGTGGGTATTTTTGTTTTGTTTTATTTGTTTTTAAAATGACATATAAACTACACAGGCTTTCTTTGGTACTCTAAGGCTGTAGATTCCCCATACCCACAGAGGGTTGGAGAGATAATGTGTATTCTCCCCTGACACCTAAACATTACACAGTTGCAGGTCTGCGGAGGGAATGGGACTGACAAAAGAGCTAGAAATAGCCACATTGCACATAATACTTTTCTAAGGTCCAGGGGGGTTCCAACTGAAAAGCCACAAAGGGGTTACTTCTGGCTGAACCCAAAGCAACCTGAGTAGGCGATAGTGCAGCTGCCATTGGGGAACATATGGCATCACAGCTCCTGATGAATGCAGGGAACTCACAGAGGAAAGCACAGGCACTTGCGGCTTCTATGAAAGTAGCCTGCGCTTACGATTATTCTGAGATCTGCAGGAATCTTTTCACTTTTGCATATTTAGATGTTTAAGGGTAAAGCCCCCGCCGGACCTTTAAGGAAGAGGGAAGATGAGAAACACCTCAAATATTCCTATTCAGAAAATTTAGAGGAGAATGCAAGCAGAAATAGTAATATATACATTATTTTGCTTTCACTGGTATCCGCTTTTGATAACAGCTGGGTGGGAAACAGTTTTCCTGTCCTGCAAAGACTGAGATTTTAGAATTTTTTTCCAGTTCTGCATCAGGAACAAATTGAGATGTTTCAATATTTCCAAAGAGAAACCACCCAAAGTAGCCAATAGCCTAGTGGTTAGGGCATTCATCTGGGATGTGGCAGTCCCCAAATTCTAATTTCTGCTCCTCTTGATTCAGAGCAAGGACTGGAAGCTGGACCTCCCACATCCCAGGTGAATGTTGTAACCACCAGGCTTACTGGGGTGGGTCTCTCTCCATCTCTCCTGTTGCAGCTGTCCTGTGGTGTATAAATTAAATATTCATTTGACCAGAAAGGGAGATAGACTTTTTAGCCTAGTAGTTTAGGCAGGGACTTGAACCTGTCTCCCCCATGTGTCAGGTGAGTGCCCTAACCACTAGATCACTTTGCTATTGGCTATTCTAGGGGGACAGGTCTCTCTCTCCTTCTCCCTCTCTACCCAACACACCTTTCAGATTAAAGTTTAATCAAAATGGATATGCTCCTGCAAAAAGTTTGGTTTTGACAAACTGGCATTTTCTGGTGAAAATCTTTTGTCAAAAACTTCCTCGACATCTCTATATTTGACAGAGTGAGGGAGATCTATCACCTGTCTTTAACATAACAGAAACAGGAGAAGGCCATAAACTACCATTTATTAAAAGAATGGTCACATTAAAATATGGAAAACATTGGATTCAGTATTCCTCCGAGTCCTACTTCTTGTTCAGCCAATTGCTCAAACAAGTTATTTTACCCTTACGGGAGATAATGCTGCACACTTCTGTTTTCACTTTCAGGTGACATTGTAAATAAGGTGTTCGCACGGCACTTTTGTAGCCGGCATTGCAAGGTATTTACTTGCCAGATATGCTAAACATTTGTATGCCACTTCATGCTTCAGCCACCATTCCAGAGGACATACATCCATGATGATGATGCACATTAAAAAAATAATGTGCTAATTAAATTTGTGACTGAACACCTTGTGGGAGAATCGTATGTCTCCTGCTCTGTTTTACTCACATTCGACCATATATTTCATGTTATAACAGTCCCAGATGATTGACCCAGCACATGTTTGTTTTAAGAACACTTTCACAACACTTGCAGATATGACAAAAAAAAAAGACAGTACCAACATGAGATTTCTAAAAATAGCTACAGTACTTAACCCACGGTTTAAGAATCTGAAATGCCTTCCAAAATCTGAGAGGGACGAGGTGTGGAGCATTCTTTCAGAAGTCTTAAAAAGCAAAACTCCAATGTGGAAACTACAGCACCTGAACCATCAAAAGAGAAAATCAACCTTTTGCTGGTGGCATCTGACTCAGATAATTAAAACAAACATGTGTCAGTCCGCATTGCTTTGGATCGTTATCAAGCAGAAACCATCAGCAGCATGGACGTATGTTGATGCATCAGCATGTTGAAGCATGAAGGGACATATGAATCTTTAGTGCATCTGGCATGTAAATATCTTGCAACGCTGGCTACAACAGTGCCATGCAAAACCTGTTCTCATTTTCAGGTGACACTGTAAACTATAAGCGGGCAGCATGGTCTCCCGCAAATGTAAACAAAATTGTTTGCCTGAGCGATTGGCTGAACAAGAAGTAGGACTGATTGGACTTGTAGGCTCTAAAGTTTTATATTATTTTATTTTATTTTTGAATGCAGTTATTTTTTGTATATAATTCTTATTTGTAAGTTCAACTTTCATGATAAAGAGATAGCACTACAGTACTTGTATTAGGTGAATTGAAAAATACCATTTCTTTTGTTTTTACAGAGCAAATATTTGTAATCAAAAATAAATATAAAGTGAGCACTGTACACTTTGTATTCTGTGTTGTAATTGAAATCAATTTATTTGAAAATGTAGAAAACATCCAAAATTATTAAATAAATGGTATTTTATTATTGTTAAACAGCATGATGTGATTAATTGCAATTAATTCTTTTTAACCACTTGACAGCCCTATTCTTTCTTAATTCAACAAATTGCTCTCATACTTTACCATAAACGACTGTAGAAATATTATGAACAGTACAGCACATTTCCACAGTTAATCTGTTTACTTTGTAAATGTAGATATTTTACTATTATTCTTCCTCTTTTTAAATTTTACATTAAATTGCAATAAGCAAGTTTATAAATTTCCTTAATGAGCAAAAGGTTTCAACAACTGTAATCTTTGTGTCCTTTATACTGAAATATTTACCTTTTACTTTCCAAACAATAAGCTGTTCTAAGACTACAGTAACCCACATACAACATTACATATTACAGAACTAGTCTCATAATAAAACTATTATGAAGTTAGAAATGAGTTATCTTTGAAAAAAGTGCTTACCATTCAAAATTTCCTTCAAACATCTAAACCAGGAATGACAGTGGTCTTCACTTAAATTATTAAAATTGATGGCAGTGTCCTTCAATTTATTTTCTTTTTTCAGGCATACAAAAACTGTGATACCTAACAATACACCACCTTTCTTCTGTCCTACAAAACGACGACGTTTCAATTTTATGGAAAATATATCTTTCATTTCAACAAACTCCTCTTTACATGGTAAGTTCATATTGGAATCACCTGTTAAAAGAACGAAAGCTATATTAACAGTGTGTATTAACCCACATCTCGCACGGATAGAAACCTTATATATTATATATGCAACGTTTTATATTTCAATTGTTTGGTCTACATCTTCAAATTTTGACTTATGCATCAGTTGCATAAATCACTGGTTGTGTTCTTTGTATTCTAGTATTCAAGTTTAATATCCTACTGTAAGAAATTAGCATTGTTTTATAGGTCTTGAACGTCCTTTTTTACATTTAGAAATTAGAGAAAGTTGTATTTATATCCCTCCATTCTGTAAATCTCTCCATCCCTAAATTCAGTCTCATAAAACAAGCTCTCTGTGTCCATTAAATCACTGCATGGTCTTAGTAGCAGCTATCAGTATGCCAACTTTATTTTCTCATTTGGTATAACTGCATGCTCTTCAGAAATGAGAAAGGTACTAGGTGAGAACACTAGAAAATATTAGATCAGAGAAAGCAAACATCCCCCACCCTCACACACAGAAACATACAAAATAAACCAAACCAGAACTGGGTCACTGGTATTATTAACTTCTATTTAAATTTTCAGTTAAGTTTGACTTGGAACAAAACATCCTGAGATTCTAGTAGCAACTCAAACCCTCAGACCCTGGAGACTGGCAATGGATTGGGAGCACTATATCAAGGCTACAGAAATGTTTCTAATGTAGGGTTACCATACGTCCTCTTTTTCCCGGACATGTCCGGCTTTTCGGCAGTCAACCCCCCGTCCGGGAGGAACTGCCAAAAAGCAGAACATGTCCGGGAAAAAGAGGACGTATGGTAACCCTACATTAGAAACATTTCTGTAGCCTTGATATAGTGCTCCCAATCCATTGCCAGTCTCCAGGGTCTGAGGGTTTGAGTTGCTACTAGAATCTCAGGATG